ATGATATCATTGATCTTTTCCAATTGTACTAGTTCTTCCTTTCATTGGTCGCCATCCTTTGAATCAAAAGCTAAAATTGAAAAATCTGATCGAACGGATAATTTTAACCCACTTTTTTCTTTCATTTTAAATTCAAACTTAAACTCGATAATTGAAGTCAAGATTGTCCGAAAGAGAACAGAATTTACATTATTAATCTTGTTTAAAAAAAAATTTAATATTGCTGTTGAATTTAATTCTGGACTTGAATTTTTATTCTATTTAACCGGATCATTCAATGTACATCGCAAAATATTCAAGAGTTCTATCGACGTTTTTTTCAATGTGAGTGAGAGAGAGTGTGTGTGTGTGTGTGAGAGAGAGAGAGAGAGAGAGAGAGAGAGAGAGAGAGAGAGAGAAAGGATTCTGTACGGGAAAGATATATGATACAAATTCCCATTGTCGACGCTGTATTAGACAGCTAATAGATGGTCCAATGTGTCAGTTGCCATTTGACCACGTGTAACATCACTGTCCGAAACCAATACATACGAGTTTACGTCGTGTCTGCCAGACAAACACCGGCGTTAACTACATCAAGCACACATATCGAATTAACGCGATAATTAATTCAGGATTTGTAAGATCGATGTTAAAATCTCCAAGAGTGAGTTTGACGTCTCGATAAATCTCAAATAACCTACCGGAATTCATACCACTTTTTATTTTATTTAATTATAACATCATCATCCCTCTTTTTCTCGCATGTACAACGTACATAGACATAGACATGATTATTATCGTACAACGCGGCATATAGACGCGTGCTCGAACTAATGTGGCCAATTACCTTCGCAATTTCACTAGTTTACCGCGTTAATTACCGCAGGTACACTTTTATTTTCGACAAATCTCCGACTTATTTAACGCGCTAGTAAACGGGAGCTAATTAAATCCCGCGCTTTGCAATTTATTGCCATTGTACTACGTCAAATTACTCTTTTATCAACATAAGCATATCAAACTCAGACCTCTTTCTTGCAATTTTTTTCCTAATAATCTATACTTAATGGATACTTCAAACTTTCTCTTAACTAATAAATCTTGAATAATAGGTCTACTTCTATTCCAACTCATACAACTCCTCGCATTTCGAATGATTTTACGAGAAAAGTAATATCGGCAGAATAATATCACATGGCTCTTCTGCGAGGAGAGCCTACACATTGATTTTGTGTCTGAAGAATTCATATGTTAATCAGATGAGTAGGATCACACGTACTGCCTACGCGGGACAAATGCAGGAAATCACTCGCCTTCCTAAGGCCGGCTTCGTATATAGGGCATGTATTATGCATCGCCGTAATAATGCGTGATATGAAAGTTCGCTTAACATCGTAAACGTTAACGCTGAATGAAAACAGGCCGACAGTTATTTAATAAACTAATTATCTATATTTTATATACGCATCGTGAAATGAAATAATTAATCTATAGGCAGTTTGTATTCTGCTTTCATTCGCTAGTCTTGATTATAAATTTACGAGAATGCAGGTTTCGTGGCTGAGAAAAAGTGCTTCATGGTTAAAATGGCCGGTCTGACCGGCTTTCATAATGCGAATATTGTAATGTAAGATTATTGTAATATAATGAATGTATAATATTGTCTTCATATGTTATCATTTAACGTTAAACAACACGAAATAATTTATAATAAATAATAATTTATAAATTTTTCAATCTATATATCTGATATAGGATTATTAAACTTTATTTTCATTTCAAGAATTTTATTGTTGATTAAAATAGTAATAAAATAGTAATAGTAGAATAATAGTAGTAAAATAGTAATAAT